ACAATGCTATACTACTGGCTGCCTGTTGGCGGTTTGTGAATATTAAGCGGTTATTCCGCAGTAGCTGATGGATTTCAGCTCAAATATTCATATCAAATTTCGGACCGTGCCTGAAAAGGCCTGTTTCGAAAGAGTTACTCCAAGTTCGCGCATTAATTTCCTCGGAAATTAAGCAAGGCAAGTTGAAAGTGAAGTTCATATACCAGAAAACACACGGGGAAAGCTGGGGGACCCACTGACGAGCCGAACCCCTCGCAGCTGCGTCAGGCAGCGGCACAAGATCGGCGAAACACGCGTGTCTGGGCTTTTAGCTAATACCTGTGTTGTTAGTACGGAAAATTATTGCACAATGATAAGAACTGCGTCATGTGGCTGAAGAATGACAGATGGCGAAACATTCTTCTCGAAAGTAATGAGCTGCCTCCGAGCAGGACGAACGTATATCCTGTCAGGATTTTAAAGGACAACCTGACTCTGGATGCGGCTCGGCGGCTGGCACATAGGGCCGAGGACACGTCGGACCTCTCCTTCTCGGAGTCCACGGAGTTGGGCCGAACGGAGTACGTGTCACTTGTTATTAATAATTTTTTGAAGATTTGTCCGCAGATTAACATCCTATACGGAGGATGATGACGAGAACACAGTGGACCGACAACCTGAAAGGCGACTAGCTAGGTTGGCTGGCGCCAGGACCCATACTTCAGTAAGTAGCAGTAAGTCTGATAGTTTGTAGGGCAAGACTTGACGAAAACGTACCTACTTCCTCCGCCGGATGGGGCAGGCCTTCACCTTAAGCAGTTCCCTCACTTCAGTAAGCTGGATATTTTTATTCATTTCAGACTGCAAACGGAAAAGGATGCTTCTGCGGCGCAGAGCGACATATCAAGATCAATACAGATGGAGTTGACATCTCTGTGCAGTTGGATTAAATTCATTTAGTAAAAGGGTTGACAACATAGCCCATAATCAGACGGTCCTTCTTGAGGAGTTGCGACAACATCGTGCACTAATGGTTGAAAACTTTGGCAAATACTTGCCTGCACTGTCGTTGTCGCTCAAAGGCCTCCTGCACTGCGCTTGCTACTGTGCAGCAAGGACGTCTACGAAGGCTTCGTCGGCATGCTAAACGAAGAGGCCGATTTTCGGGAAGAAGTGATATGTAAATATGCAGCTTTACTTACTCTCCATGTTTTATGGATGAAACAACTTGTCTCGGTTGGCGGACTAAATAACAAGGAGTTCGTGAAGAATCTCCTCAGAAAACTGTTTGGACCATCCCCTTGCCTTGCCTACTGCTGGGGTGGCTCAATGGGGTAGCAATCCTTTGTTGATAGTCCTCTATATGCACTCCTGTGTGGTAAGTCTTCCTCATTTGTTAACCGTCCAGATACCATTCGCCAGAGCCCTACCTTTAGTGACTGCGCCCAGGAAATGGTTCGCAAGACGGAGATTGATTGGTTTCATGGACCGGTATGGCGACCGGGCTAAACGCCTGGTGGTAGTTGGAGGGACTAGCGATGATACGCGTTACCCCATGCTGTCTTCATCTGAGGACCCGATGATTGCCATCAATAAAAGTTGCATATTTAAGGTGAAACATTCATACTACTATAATAAACTTAATTAGTATGAAAATTGTTATTTAAATTTTGAGGTCCTAATTTCCTTCCGTAGTATCTCAGGTACCCGTCGACCATGTGTTTTCCTAACATTTGTTATTTTTCACCTATAAGAACCAGCCGTCGAAGAGGGGACTAATGGAACGCCCAGCTGAATGGCATAATATGTTACAGTTCATGTATATACTGACACTGACATTTATTATGATTGTACATATTTTTCAATTGCTTTTTAGTTACTACAATAAATAGCTCATTCACATGCATTTGCGTAGCCTGTACTGTGTCTGATAGTGGGTGCCGATTAGTAGGTACATATACGGTGGTATCACTGTGAGTACGATGTAATACCGGAGTACTCTACGTACGTCGGGGGGGGGGAGGTTTCGACGTGTAACCTGTGGGGACGTTGAGGTGCTGCGCCTCAGGGACTCAACATACAGGCTGATATTTTAAAGGAGTGCCAAACGTGGGCGAAACGGTGGTATCCCCAGCGCATTTTTTGTCGGTGGGGCCAGGCGGACTGTCGCGTAGAATATAGCCCCTTCCACAGCCCAGCAAAACCCCTTCATAACCCCCTCTAGCCCCACCAGATTTTAGGGGGCTAGGCGAGGCTGCTGCTGGCAGGAGAGTCTGAAATTAGAGAGTCAGCCCGAGATTCTGTAATGCACGGAATATCTGGGTCAAACTCATAAGCCACACCTTCTCAGTTGTGACATCATTTGCACGACTGATCTTGCGTTCAGAGAGAGAGAGAGCGAGCGAGAATACCGAGCGTATTCCTAAGATGCAGGTTCAGCTCATTGTTACTTATAAAAAAAGAAGAGCTGATGGTGGAAAATTCAGCTGATGAGAAGAAGCAATAGATAAAAAAGGAAGTTGCTGTGGTCTGAAAGTTATGGGGATATTATCACTTACTAAAGATGCAGCATTGCATGGAAACACATTTTCGCAGAACCCGGGAAGAGGAATGCTATTTTGTGGGGTTGGAAAAATAGGAGGCATAAAAGAAGGATGTGGTGAATTTTGAGCATAATATGAGGGGTAGTTTAGCTTCGGTAACGGACTTAATGGTTTCAAGAAACAGCTTACATTAGGAGAAGGCTTTATTATTTGGGGTGTCAGGGTAGCAGTGGGATTGGAAAAGTTGTCAGCAACGCTATATACTTGCATTTTGCAGGCTGGTGTGCAAGTGGGCTTCACAATTGGGGTGTTTACGTTAAGTTGAGAATTAGGGATAGGAACAGGTAAGGATCTCCCTGAACTGACATCTGGCTCATTTGACCTAACCGCTAGGTCACACTGCAGTGGCCTGGCACGGGGACGGGATGGATTCGACCCAGGTTTATTAACTAATTAATTATTCTGAGTCCTGGAGGTCGATTGTGCTTCTAGGATTGGACCATCTTTACTGTGAATATCAAGCATCCTAGTGAATTTGGCTGCCGCTTTTGAGTCATCCTTGCTTCTTGGAGGCGTTTTAAAGTGGCTGGTTTCAACTGACTCTGATATTGTGCTCAGTTGAAGAGCTAGATGGAACTGGGGCCGCCGCAGTAAGGGGGAAGATTCGGTTGACGCATGATGGAGAATCTGCTTTTGAGGCAAATGGCAGATGAGTAGAATTCTGGATGGGCTTTACGTTTGTTAGTGGGCGAGACTCTTCGTTGCAGGGGAGTTTTATCCATGCTTATAAAAAGTTTATTTCTTCTAAGATATTGAGCTGAGCACTCCAAATAGGAGAAAATAAAGACCACTTCTATCCCCGGAAATAGTTTGAAAAGAACTGGTGAATTTTTGCTCCTAGCTGATAGTCTTTTAAATTCAGCGACCCTAAAGTTGAAGCCACAAGAATAAAGGAAGCAGGAGGCGACATCGATTGACTGCCTGCTTTTAGGAACGTTTTTTAAAAATAAAGTTGAAACATCGCTTGTGCCTGTGTTCCGTGGCACTAGCAACAAGTACGATAAGAGGCATGAGCTTCTCACATTGCTGAGAAGTGTTTGCAATTTTCCCTAAAGTGGGGCACCGAAAACGGAAAATTGAACCGTAACGAAACATAACATTATTAAGATCATCCAGTGGTCCTATGTTTATTTTTTCATATTGACAATGGGTTTCAAACGAGGAGTCTGGAAATTAGTTTCCTTCAGATTTCGACGAGGGTTTGCCTGAGGTCTCATGTCGAAAAATAGTAACAGAAGAGTTTAACCCTAGTTTACAGGGATGATAGCTGCCGAAACTGAGGATATAAAGATGAGGCTATGTATGATTAAAGAATTACTGAAAGCTATCGATATTGGTAGACCAGACAGCATAATTTTTACTGAGCAGCTTTATACAGTAATAGAATGATTATGAGAACAAAACGAGTAAATGACGATTTCTAGGTGACAAGGCAAACCTGAATAAAATTTGCAGTGAATAATGAGATTATGTAAGGTAAAATAGAGGACAGTATAGTTCTCTTACTGGTTAATAAATCGACGATAAGAGCTTTCAGTGGAGAAGATTTATCGTTAAATTTTACGAGGAAAGCCTTTTGTATATGCGGGTAAAGCTTAATAAGATTGAGGCTTTTGTGGGTGGAAAATGATGACACTTTATTTCCGCTTTATGATAAATCGGCAAAACACGACGGCAAGCATAAATGACTTATGACTAAACTGTACAAGATATTAAGGAATCGAATTCAAAAGTATGAATTCCACTTATCCTCTCAAAATCGAGCCGCATGCCTTGAACTTACCCTAGCATGGAAATATATCAAATGTGATATATTGATTGCAAACCCCACTTGTCGGTATAATGGACAATCATCGGTGATGCTGGTGCACAACTGACTTGAGATTTTGGTTCCCTCGAAACGGTGCTAGCACAATGCATAGGTGACTTCAAAATCGTAGTTCGAGCAAGCAAACATGGTAAAAATGAGTATACAAAATGTAAACGTTCCCACAGATGCATACTAATGAAGATTCAAATGTGAAAGGGGGACAAAAGAATGACGACCCGATGTCAAAAGCCCTACGACAAATATCAACACTTCAACACATATGCGACAAAATCTGTCAAATTCTGCATGACAGAAGAAACTTCGCATTAAAGAATGTGCACCTGCCAGTTAGGCGAAAGTCGACGCCTTCCATTCTCGAAAAATGTTCAATGATAACTTGGACAGCTGCGGCTTCGGAGCTGAAGCGATGGAAAATCTAAGATTATTTTTTAATGACATTCTTCGGATGCCTTCCATCAAGGAATACTTGTGAAGGACCGCATTCTAGATTGCCATTTTTGTTTTGATCCGGTGGTGCTCGCATCTTAACGTCAAGTTAAAGCAGCCGTAATGAAACGACAGAAAAATGCTACCATGTAACGGAATTAGTAAGACGTACCGTTTACTCTAATAAAATGAGCCAAATTCCCCTGAACACAAATTAAAAACAGCTCTTAATTTGGATTCTAAATTTAGAAAAAATAAATTAAAGAAAGAACCAGGTAAGTCCACACCTATTATATGCTTTCGTGGGTGTGCTTATTTTAAAAACTCGCAAACCCAGAAGATGTCTTTAAACTAGTACGCCACCTTCATAAATTAACTCTATGAAGTATCTCACGTTCCTGAAGACCTTCGCAAAATCCCAGAAATAAACTGCAGGCATTGGATGGACAACAAATGATCACGTCACGTTAGCATTCTCTCTATGGTGCCAGGGAACCGAATAAATCGAATCGATCGGTGTGCTCCATCGGAATATCTCCTGTTGGCGAGCCAGAGGACAATTTGTAAAGATAAGAGGAACTTTCGGACCAGCGACTTAATCTTTTTTCATGTTTGCTGTTCGAAATTCAGGGCTAATGCTATAACAAGGGTCTTAAGCGCAAGCCCAGACAAACCAAATTCGAGTTATACCCCTATACGTAACTAAACTCATTTGGATTGAAGATATGACAGTCCGCCGCCGGCCCGGCTACTAGCTCATGCCGCCATACTGACCGCCTCGCTCCCAGCCAATTCGCTCATAAAGCCGCCCGAGACTTCGCACTACCCACTTAACACTGGTCCTCCGCTGATTGGCTGCAGGTAAGCATAGCTCAGACAGAACAAAGGCTCACGCGCGCTGATAGCCAAGAATATCAACGGCTTTCACTTGCACACAGAGCAGAAAAGACGGTTGTCTGCAACGGCTTGCTGAGGTCACGGGATAGGATCCCAAGTAACGCACACCTCAGGGCCGGATATGGCTGGCCGGCGACGGCTAATAAGCCAGAAATGGCCATTCCAGTCTCCCTTGTCTTTGTCGGTAGTGCCGTTTTTCCTATATTACGCGCCGCGGTGCGGCTTCCGGCGGCACTCGAGAGACAGCCCCAAGGCACAACAGCACGAGTGCGTTCCGTGGCACGACCGGTGAGCGCCCCTCTATCACTGCTTGCTGAGGTCGCAGTACGCTCCTTCGCTAGAGTAAAGCCCTGCATTCCTTGGCTTGCAATTTGTGAATTCTCGCATTTGTCCCCAACTTCGACGACGGCACCTATGGAGTCGCTATATGATGTCTTCTAGAGAAACGCTGCCACGCGCTGAAGTCATCGCTTATCCACAGTTATCCATCAAACGTGCTGAAATGATGGGGGCTACAAGTACATCCGGGAAACCGGGAAACAATATCTCCGTCCCGGTAAGTTCTTTCTCTTTCTCAAAATGTGATTGAACTTACAAATGTATCAAGGTCCAACACAGTGTCTAAGCGGCATTTTTATATGTAGCCTACAAATATGGTGGAAAACTGCTCAACCAAAAACCATCATGTTGCGATGCATGAATGTATTTTGGGTTATGCTACAGGGTAGTCAGTGCTGAATTTTCACGGGAGTACCATTTTCCGTTCTCAAGCACTACGGACAATTGCGGTCATAGGTTTGATCGCACACCGTGGATACATCTGCGGCAGTCTGCTTCCGCGATCGTCACACGTCCACTTACCCATGTCCCCTTTGTTTCAACCTCACCCTTCTTGTCAGTTCGCCGCTGGAGCCGCTTACGACTTGGCACTAGATTGCGAAGGCTAGAAGCCAATCATGCTGCGTCCTTCGCTGATTGACTGCAGACGGACGCAGGCCAGATCAAGACGTACGTGGTCGGCGCTGGGACGCAGCAATCTCAACGCCACATGCACGCCCGCCGCAACGCCGTACGGTGCTGCGTAGAACCTGCCTCGGCAGAGGCTTGTCCATTCAACTGTATTTCCTGCCTTTTGATTTGGGAACCTTTAAGGTGTCGGCCATCGCACTGCGACATGTGGTAACTCCGTCTGAGCACCAGCCTATCTCGTTCGCAGTCTCCGTTATAGTCAGGCGTTGACAAAAGAAAATTGTCTACCGGAAATTTAGTGCTTTTGGAGCCCGCATCTGGCATTATTTTAGACATCCAAATTACCCACATGACCAACATGATGGAGACCCATGACTTCATCGAGCCATACTTTGCCGCACTTTCAAAAACTTCAGTTTCTCCTCTGTCTCCTCTCTTGAATTTAAGTTCAATGTTAGCGAATCCCGCATAAAATTTAGCCCCTCATTGGCAGTCGGCAGCTTCCTTTTCGGCTCGGAACGCATCGAGGCCATCCACCCGCCAAGTACAAAGCGCTTCTTCATCTCGATCCGGCACAACTATCACTTACTGGTATCACACCACATTTGGTGACAAGACTCGCGCCTGCAACTCTCCCTGCTCCTTTATTATGAATCAGAGCCCGCGAGTAACACGAGTGAGGCCGGAAGTCAATGCAGCTGATCTTCCTGGCTCCTGCGGTCCTGGTTATACCTACGTCTTCGATCACCTGGCTGTCAGACGTATTCTCGAGGACACCGCAGCCCAGATCAGCGCTGTCCCTCCCACTCCAGCCGACCTTTGCTGTCCTGACCCCGGTCTACACCCCTAAGCTATCAACTGATCCTCGGCGTCGTCATGAATCCTTTCAAGTGCCTTCTTTTGAATCCCTCCTCTAGCATGTCGATTCAAAACGTTTGCGTCCTCTCCCCTCCAAGGTTTAAGCAATTCATGATTTTCCTCAACTAGCTTCCAAGCGTCAGTTGGAACGTTTTCCTGACATGGTCAATTTTTCTCGTCATTTCCTGCCTAAATGTGTCGACCTCGTGATGTTGCTCAGCAACATGCGTTCTGGTCCCAATTGTCTCCTCGAGTTTGCTGGTGAGGCATTGACTGCTTTTGGGAGAAGTAAAGCTTCCCTGACTGACGCGTCCTACTCTCTAGGCTCCTCTGTCCTTAATGGTTGAAGCTTCGACCGTAGCCATGGGCACGGTTCCTCAACGGCACCTTGAGGGTCCGACTCGGCCATTGGCCTTCTCCAAGAAACTGTTGCCGGCTGAGAGGCGCTACAGTACATCTGGCAGTGAAACGTCTTCAACACTTCCAAGGGGATCATGACTTCGCTACGGACCATAAGCCACGGACGTTTCCCTGCGATCCTTCTCTGACAAGTATAATCCGCAGACTGCCCACTTGAACTAAACGCCACAATTCACCACCGACATCTGCGACATGGATAGCACAGGGAAAAAAGTGGCCGACGGGCTACCTAGACCTTCCTTCTCTGCATTCCAGCTCTCACATGGGATCGAATTTACTGCCATGGCGGCCGAGCTGCGATGAGTCGGTTGCCCTGATGATGAGTTAGTCGGCGGCCTCTAGCACACAGACGTCCGCCTGACCACCGGTATATGCACGATCCTTTGTGACGTCTCGATTCCCTCTGCCCTTTCGTACCCACCTCGATGTATAGAGCTGTTCTTCAAACTCTCCATGGATTCTCTCACTCTGGGATCCGAGCCTCACAAAAGATCCTCGCGGAACGGTTCGTCAAAGCTTTGGCACGACCGTGTCTGAGTTGCTCGCGAAACAAGGTGAGGCCTAACGACATGTCTCCACCAGGCACCTTCCCAAGCCCCGGAGCACGGTCCAGGTATATCCACCTGTGCGTTGTAGGCCCCTTGCCTACATCCAATGGCTACGCTCATCCCCTTACCTGTGTCGATCGGCACACACGCTGGACTGACGCCATCCTTCTGCTGAATGTGGAAGCAGATACCACTGACACAGCTTTTGTCAATCGTTAGGTCGCCATTCTCGGCGTCCTACCCACTGTTACGACTGACCGAGGCACCCAGTTCGACTCCTCTCTCTTCCATGTCCTCCACCTTTCTAGGTTGCACACGCGATGGCCCACCGCCCGGCAGCCAACGACATGGTTGAGTGTTCATACCGTCAGCTAAAGACAGTCCTGCATCCCACGAAGGACCCGACAGACTGGCTTGGGCGTTTGCCTCTAGCACTTCTTGGCATTGGCGCTTTACTGAAGTCGGATACGGACTGTAGCGCAGCCGAATAGGTGCTCGGAACTACCCTCTAGCCGCCGGGCGAGATGGTCATTCCAACCTCTCCAGGTGTCGACGAGATTCCTGCCAGTTTTGTGCATCGTCTGCAGCAGTTTATGAGTATGAATTCCCCGGCTTCTCCTCGAACTCCACCGACCGAGTCTTATGAAGAAAAGAGATTGTCCAACTGCACTCACGTGTTCGTTCGAAGTGACCATATGCGCAGCCGGAGGAACCACCACACGAAGGATCGTTCCCGGTACCCTCACGCACTACCAAAACCTGTCGGATCCATCGTATCGACGAGGATGTCATCAGTATGGACCGGGTCAAAACGGCCGATACAGACGAACAGCCGGACGCGGCTCAAGGATAGAAGTGCCGACCCCTACCCCATTCCCCTCCACCTTCCCCACCGCCTGCTCCTTCCCCTCCCCCCCCCCAACCTCTGCCCCTCCATCCCGTCTACTACCTGCCTGTCGTGTCCTCTACC